AGCATAGTGCAATACATGTTCAAGCAATACAAAACCATGAAGGCACAGTCCCTATGGGGGGGTTGCAGGAGAGACGGCACAAATGGCACATAAAAACTGAACAATTAACAGTAGAACATGCCCTGCTCAGCCAGCGATATGTTTAACTACTGCTTACCTAAAGGGTGTTCTTTGCAGCTTAACTGCTAGCTAGAAAGTATATCTAAAAAGAATTTTGTGAGAAATTTTCCTGCTTTCTGCTCTGAAGTAGTTGAGGTTAGGCTTTTGTGGTAGTGAAAGCCTGCACTTGGAGACAGACCTGCTCAGTAACCAGAATTTCCCCTCCCCTTTTCTCTTTCTTTTATATGTTTTCTATTCCTCTTTCTAGCTAAGGAAACCTTACTGGTCTCCAGTGTCATTTTAGCAGCTGGATTGGTTCCAAAGGGTTTAGGCTCCAGCAACCAGCACTTGAGTATCTCAGCAAAACTCTGCTGACAGCCACAAAATGTATGGCTGTGCCTCTCCAAACCACGATGTCATTCAGCCCAACACATGGCCAGGGTTGGATTGCTTGTATACTTCGTTGTTTGTGCAACTTTCCTATTATAACTTCTGTCAGTGGTGGAGTCAGATGGCAATGATGACATTCTTGGCATAACTTCTTTTTTCATATCCTTAGAAAAAAATAATCCCATAGTAGCACTTAATTCAGTTTTAGTATTGCCTTATTTGTCCTATTGGCTTGATGGCTCGTACTCCTCCTTCAGCTACAGCCAGGCAAATGTCACAGGGTGGTATTTGCTGTTACTTGAATAAAGTTATCCTTGACCTCTCATATTTGCTTTCTGTTGAAGATTTTATAAGGAAAATTTTATTCCTGGTAAGGGAAGAAGTGGTGGGAACATGGAATTGCCCAAATGCATGTATTGGCAAAACAGCTTGTGCTGATTAGTGCAGCTGGAGACAGAAACAATTGCAGCAGGAACTGATCACACAGCACAGACCTGAACATGAGCTGTTGTAAGGGAAAGGCAGGGGTGAGCAACCTTTACTCAGGGAGACACTGCCTAGAAAGCACACAGGGTGATGTTGAACTAATGGCAGTTAAACTGGAAATCTGTTGTGAACTGAAACGTTTTCTGAGCTGTAAATGGTTGCACCTTTATTATGATGCAATTCTTACAATGGCAGACCTCAAATTAAACCTTACTTCATTAAATCATAGAGAACCAGTGCTCTGGACAGGCTGTGCAGCAGGCTCTTCAGGCACTTGTTGGAATGAGAGGACACCGGAAAAATCTGTTCTTGCATCATACTTACAGAATTTCCTACTTGAGAACAGTGACATACTGATTTCTAAAAGTTTGTCTTGTCCTTTTCCAATACACTGTAAGAACAGCTTGGCTGGGGATACACCACGGAGTTTATGGGATATTTACAAACAGATCCTTTTATTGCAGTGAGCAGAAATTTATGATGCATGTAAGAGAATGCTCAGCTATTCTGTGTGTTTGTTGCAGTGGTGTTGCCACCTTGGCAGAGAGAATCCATTGCACCTAAGCTGTAGTTAATTTAGGAAGGCAACTCTGCCTTTCATGCCTTGTTCTAAAGAAATGCTCAATACCAGACTAAATCTTGAAAGGTGATGTTGATGTTCCAGCCAGTGCTATGCCAGCTTTGCTCTTGCTGCATGCAGAAGCTCTAGTAAATTTGGCTTAGGAACTTGTCTTTGATACCAGACTGCAGTTGTTAAGGTGCAGAGATGCCTATTTGTGTAGAGGTGCCTGTTTTCTAGAAACATTCACCTTCCCAACTGTCAGGATTTTCAGAAGGCTGCTTCCTTGTCTTCTCTGCTTTTTATTACACAAAGGACCTTTCTAAGTCATCAGTCATGTATCATTCCATTGTCACAAGAACTTGTAGGAATAGTCGTTCCCTTTTCCCTCCAACTTACTTCACATGACAACACTGATTATCCAACACTGCATTCCCAAGCAATATATTCATAACTGAGTCCTCTTTAGGTGCATCATTTTCCTTTGATCAAAAATTACAGAAAAGAACAGACTTGGCAGTAGCTCTTCTCATATACTAGAGGTGAGGTGAATAGGAGAGTATGAGAGGATGGAATGGCACTGGTACCAGAAACAAAACTGGAGAGTCTGATTACTGAAACTGGTGGGAAAAAAACCCAAAAGCAAACACCTAACAAACAACATCTGGGGTTCAAATACTCACTGTCAGTTATTTGCAATATGAACTATCAGAGTTATCTGTTGGCATTGAACTTCTTGATGTAAAGGGCAGGAGCTTGCTGAACAGAACTGCTTTTTCTTATTTTCAGACTGTCTTGCCTATATAATTTTCAGGGCCCTTTAGCCCATGCTAGATGTCATCAAATCTACTTCTAGTAGATTCTATTGGTTAGTTAATAATGAGCTTAGACCAAAACATGGGCTTGCTGAAAGAACAAACAGTGACTCCAGTATTTTTGTTTGTTTGTTTCTTTGCTTATTTGCCCATCCAGTTTTATTACCCTCCTCTTAAATGCTTGCACTTCCTTATCAGCATGTATATATGTGACTGGGTTTGTGAGAGGTGTTCCAGGTGTTTCTTTGTGGCACTGTAACTCTGTGCAGCGTCTTGGGAGGGCAGGATGAGGTGCTGGATGAACACAGAGGGTTAACAGGCCATGCTAGGGCAGCCCCCAGGGGTGGCTTCTCTAAGGCTTCAGGCAGGAGCTGTTGAGCTTCTCCTGTACCTGCGGCTGTTTGTGTTTCTCTGGGATACACAACCACTGCATAACACTTAAATAGGCATTTTTATGCATAAAAGTGTCAAATGAGAAATGTCATAGAATGAATTTTTTTGTTTGTTTTCAGAGGAGAGCCCTTACAATGGGAACAAGAAAAGACTGCAAACATTCTTCCTTCCAGCTCTTACCAGCAGGTGTCACAGTAATGACAGTAAGGAAGAGATAGGCATTTTTTTCAGTTTCTAATAATAAAAAGACAACAAAAACTTTACTCTAAATTTGCAGAAACAGCTGGAGAACTTGTATAGCCTGACTTATCTAGTGGGTCAGTCTCTTCCAAAACAAGATTCATGGTACATACAAGCCTTTGCAAAGTAAATATCCTATTTTTATTGTTTCTATATCTTAGTCTGGTTATTTTTTCCCCCATTTTCTTCTGCATGTAGCAGATGTTAACAAAGGTAACAGTAGGTTATTTTAAAATAATTCCTGTCTTAGAGAATCTCAGCAAATGACAATGCTTTTTGTGGATTAAGAATGATTGATAAACATTATCCTTTTACTGGCAGAATAAAGTTCAGTGTTAACTTCCATTACTGAAGATGACTGTATGCAAAACTATGCAAGAATTTAAATATATAGGAAATCCTTTTTCATTTCCATGGCCTTTCACATATCCTAATACTTTACTCGCTACAACAGTGGCTAGTTCCTGAATATTATTATTGTAAATTAGGTGAATCCAAGGGAAAATAAGAGGTGAGGGGACTATTTGCAAAACATCTCAGTCCTCACCTTATTCACTCCAGTGGAGTAGGTGTTGGATTCAGAGCACACAGTGGTATTTTGAGTTAGGCAGGGAGAGTGACAGAAGTCCAGAAACAAGCAGAAAGAAGAAAAACAAAAGTAATGCTGTGGAATACTGTAAAGAAATAGTGGCTACGATATGAGAATTAATAGGCCTTGATATCTGCCAGCATTTCCTTTGGGCTTGGGTCCTAAATGAACAAACTTCTGGTTACTCTTCTAAAGGAAAAGACCTTAATAAGACATTTCTTCTCTCCTATCACCTGAGATACCAAAACAGTGCTTTGCAAGATAGAGTGATGTTTTCACAATGCCTGGAATGAAGTCTCCTCTCTCAACAGCACAGCTTTGGGTGTCAGTGCTCAGCTCTGAACGCCCTGGTGTGACTGCAGATCCTCTCATCTCCCCTACCCTGTCAGTCCAAGGCAATCAGCCTTCAGCCTATTTGCATCTAAGGACGACTTGAATTGACAGCAGAGCAGACACAGCCAGTCAGTGGCTTACTGCTGGGGTCGGTGTGTGCTAATTATATACCGGGTAATCACCCTAGAAAACATGTGAACAGCTTTCAAACTGCTGGGGCTATTTTTACTAACCCTCAGCTATAATTACTGCATGTTCAGTCTCTGGCACTTCAGCTGCCCCTTTCTGTTGTATTTATAGACAAAAAGCACCAGTGAGGGTAATGGGCCAGGACAGGCACTCCAAGGAGAAGCTAATCCTGCGCTGGCCGTGCTCTCCCGGGAGAACCATCGCGGCTCCTTTTCTATCCTGGGCAGGTGGCAATTGGGAACCAAAGGCCAGAGCTTTTGCCTCCCTGTTGAGTTTGGGACACTCTCACATGTCACTGGGCCTAGGGATTCCCCAGGTAAGTAAAAACTGCTGTAACAAAACTGCAAGGGAGATAAAAACCTTTTCAGTACCACTAATATCACTGAGATAAGATACAGGTTTTAAGACCTGACTCTGGCATTTCCCTCAGTACTGCTTGATCAGCCAAGAATAGGTAAATAATTTAGACTTTGTAGGAATCTCACATTTATTTCAGAAACAGTTTAACTGCATCTTGCCTGTGATAATATCCTTTCAGGAATGAAAATTACTGTTTATGATGCGTTCCCTAAATAATAATTTCTGGAGTAATTTCTCAAAATGATCTTGTCATTGTCAAATTGAAATGATACTTGCAAATAGGAAAGCCACCAGTATTGTGCAAATTGATACTCTGCCAGCACTGCTGATCACTTCTTACGTATTTAAGGGTCACAGTTGCTGCCTCTAATCTCAGTTGAGCCCCATACTCTTATCAGATTGTTCAAAACCACCACTCTTCCAGGGGGAATATAAAATGTCCCTCCTTTCGTGTCACAACGGAGCACAGCTGCTTACCACTGCATCAAAACAGGGAGTTTCTTCCCACTCTGCATCTGGATCTGCATTTTAAATAAATGACAATGCATTTGCATTATTTTTATTTATTTGAACACTACGATTTAAGAGCCTAAATGCAAGTTTTTCCCTTTATTTCTGCAAGTAGCACTGCAATCATAACTTACAAAAATGTTTAAAATACAAAATGTACATGAAATTACAATACAAGGCTCTGTAAACATCTAGAACTTAATCTTTATTGTCCCACATTTTTAAATATAAAACTTCAATTTGAACGATTTCCAAACCTCAAGGAATGACATCCATTATGAGTATCAAAAATAGAGTTTCAAAGCTTTGTATCAGAACAAAACTATTACGTTCTTTTCATTCTTTGGTTTAAAAAGGGTGGCAGTTCCCCTGATAACAGATAAGTTTTACTACAGAAATTTGGATTGCTAGTTTATAGTAATTTCAAAACTCACCCTCCTCCCCCCTGGATTAATATGCTACCCCTTAATTTTTTTTTGAACATTGACCTTTGACCCTCCTTATAGAAAAGCTACCTCATCTTTAAGGCTTTCCTTCAGGATAATCTAAATTACTTATAATTTTTGGAAAACTACTCAGGGAGAATACAGGACTTAAGGGCAAGGAAGTGGATGCCAACAAAATATCAACAGTTGCCGGGTTCTGCTGTTTAATTAAATTTGCATAGTCGAATAGAGATCCTGTGCTTTTTATATCACTAAAATTATAGAAGATTAACAGTCTTTACCTACGTTATCACACAAGCTAAAATAAAATTAAGACCCTTGTATTGAAGCTTTTACAAGGCAAATACAAAACTGCTTTAGTATCCAAAGCTATTTTTTTAAATTTCATTTTTAAATAGGAAAGCGTCTCTATGTCTACAGGCATCAAGGTATTTAAAGGCATCAGAAAATTTAGTGCATAGCAACTCCGGATTGTTTGGGCTCCTGTATTTTAGGTACAGTGTGAATTCCAGCTACTTGGAGAACTTGCAAGGAGAGTCTGTACCAGCAGGATAAAGGAGCATAAATCCCATATAGTATGAAAAGCTTTTAAGTCAGAATTCTCCTACAAACAATGGTTAATGCAAACGACCCAACACAGGAATGAAAACTGGAACATGCCTCGCCACCAGCACACACTCTGAAGACAGATTACACAGTTTACAGTGTTGTGTGGTTTGTTTTGTTATTAAGGTGTTAAAAACACAAGTAGATGTATTTCTGAGCATGTGAGTCCTTTGTAGGATCTTTAACATGAGTAGAGGACAGAGTAAAGCACCACTGCTGAGGACAATTACAATATCACACTTTTCATATTCCAGCCCTGCCAATTTTTTTCTGCAAATTTCAAGATTTGCACCACTGAACAGTACATTCACAAAAAGGATGCTTAAGATTCCCAGCAGGTAGATAGTGGCCTAGCACTAAGTTGTTTGAAATAATTATGAAACATCAAGATAGTAACCTCAGGCTGCACTCTTAAAAGGAAGTTACGTGATAAAATTATAATTTCACCTGCTCAACGTATGTCCTTTTTAAAAGTTCATGATTCAGCTATTACGGAGATGTGATTATAGCAACTGTAATGGTATTGCTTGGGCACTGACTTCAGGTGTAGTGTTTTGTTTGCAAAAGGCTCAATGGAAAGTTTTCCCCATGACTGTTTGCCAAAATGCAACATCAGTAGAACCTGTGTTTCCTCCTGCAGGCATTATAACTCAGCACTTTCCCCTGTCAGACCACTCTACAGAGAGAGGCATGTGCTCCCCGTGTGTTCAACTGCTAAAATGTCCCCAGTTGTCCGAACTGGATCCAACGCAGATAGACTTTTTAATTTTCCAATTCTTTGAGTTAATTCACTCAATTTTTGTTAGAGCACCATGGCTCACCCCACTGAGGAACTAAACTGAACATCTCGGATGTTCTGACATTCCATTCCTTCAGTCTCACTTTGCTGTGACTGTTGTACCCTGTGTGTTCCACGGAGGAAAGCTCTGGAAATGAGTGCCTTTTGGGGCAGGGAAATGCGTGTGACACTGGCACTTTCACATCCTCTCCAAGGTGTCTGATTGTAAAGCCTCTGTGAACAGATTGTTTCCAATTTAGCAGATCATGGGGGTAAGGGAGATGCATCCTCGGAGCACAGCACAGAGTTCACTGCTGCCGTGGGGAATCTGCTGGATTTCTTTGGTAGCTTCTGCTTCACACCTTTACAATTCAACATGGACACATTACACTACCTAACCACTAATTCACAGTAAATTACTTTTGAGCAAACTGACATTTATAAACAGCCTAAATTTAAGGAACTGTAATTGTCATCTCCTTAGGACTTCCAAGTGGCATGATCAGGCATACAGCATATAAAACGTACAGATGTGATCAAATGATTTATTGCATCAAAAACTTGAATGCCACTGAACTGGTGATTTCAAAACCATATTCCTCAGGGAACATTTAGATCCTCAGCAAATATAAAATTTTCTCCTGTATCTAACATGGCTTTGATGTTGCTGTTCTTTAATCTAAAATCCTACTGCTCAAATTTGATTAAAAATGTAACTTTCTAAGAAAAAAGCTATTTCAAGAAGGAGCCTGTGCTAATAAAGATCAGGAAGATTATCCACAAAGTTATAAAAGTTAAATTTTGGAATGTAATTTCTATCCCAACACTTTCATGATGGAATGGTCTTTTTGCCTATCAAGTAACATTTTCAGTTTATAAACAAGTGCAGATCTACATTTGGCTTTGCTTCCTATGAATCTAAGAAAGAAAACACTACAGTATTCATATACACAATGGCTTCCGTGGCATTGGCTTCAGATGACAGGTATGATTTGCCACTGGAAGATCTTACTAAAAAAAATTAATAATAGAAGCTTTAAAGGCTTTCCAAAATGACCAAAAGGTGTTACAAATCATCAGTTACAAACTCTACTATCTCTAAGGGAAAGCAGCACACTGAAGATGTGTTTTCCACATTCAGTACTGTGAATATTATAAGAGCAAACTAACCTCTCCACACACCTGAAGCACTTACAATATAAAAGTATTCTATTTAAATGCAAAAAGCAGAGCTCATTTGTAACTTTAAAATAGTTAAAATATCTGGTGTAGATTCTGTGTGTCCATTTTAAGAAGTCTCTTTACAGCATCTGAGGAACTATAATTAAAATGCTCTGTCTCTACATCAAAAATGTAACCCACTGAAAGGGCTTTGCAAGGATCCACTGTTCCAGTTCATAAAGGCCACAGAGTTGGAAGCACAGTAAGTCTAAAGAGGAAGAGGATGAAGAAATATTCAGAGAAATTGTGAAGTTTTCATGGATGCTTAGTTGTTAGCTCATCCATTACTGGATTCCATCAGATATTCTTGTCTCCAGAGATCCAGGACACGCACGTGCAGGCTGGCTGGCCACTGCTGTTCCATGTGACACTGAGATCTGTGACATATCTCTTCCTATGATCTCATTCACTATAAAAAAAAAGAAGAAATATTAAGAAGTGACTGTTTTTATGCTTTCCAAAAGGCAGAAGTCATTCCTTTTAAAGAGAAATATTTCAGTGCTAAGCCTTGATGCTGTTAAGTAACAGAAGATGAAGGAGGAGCCTGGTTTCAGGAACAGGGGGAAAAAAAGGGTTCTAGTTTCTCTTATTATTATGCATGTACTCGCCATAGTCCATGCTGGAGAATCCCTAATACCCTTGAAGAAAATAGGCACGTGAGTATTCATGATAAGCAGGTAACTGAAAGGCATAGCACAGGGCAGGTTAGTGCAGGTTTCCCCACAGAACTCCTTCTGGTCAAGAGTGTTACAGGCACAACAAACAACTCTAGCAGTTCCTGGCTCTTTCAAGCTACTTACAGAACTTCCTCAGAACGTGGATTTGGGTTAACAGAATATTTTTTTTAAATACTATATACCTGTTTGATGGGCCAGTTTTCTGAATCCTTGCATTTCTGAAGCTGCAGTAACTAACTCTTTTGTTATCAGTCAATTTTCCTATAATAATTAAAATGGACTAAGACGCAGTTTGTGTGTCTGTGTGTGCATATACGTCAAATTCAGCAAAGTTTAATCAACTAGTACTATTCAAAAGTAAGGGATGTCTCTGTGAATGTGACAAACTAGCACCTAAGTTATCAACAAATGAAAATTTTGGAGTTTTACTCTGAAGCTTAGATAACTGCTGCAGGACACTTGAGTTTGGAAGATGACAAAAATAATTATTTTAACGGATAAATGTAAAAGCTGTGATATATCACATTAAATACTAATGACAAATTTTAGACAAATATTAGATTATAAGCAAAATCTGAATTATTATTTAATTGGTAGAGGCAGTCAATCCTGTTGTTTTCCAAGACTGAGTGGCAATTGGCTACAGTATCTCTTACTGAGAAAGACTTTGAATATGCTAAGCTATTGAGGCTTTTCCTTTATTACTGGCATGAGTTTGCTTCTATAAACAGGCATTTAATGGGATTCTTTTGTTGAGTAAGGATCATTCTTAATAAAAAAAAAATGTTTTGCTCTGCTAGTAAGCTGCTTCTATTGAAAATCTTAACAGATTTGGAACCCAGGGTTTTGCTATTTTGTTCTCCTTTGGGTAACTTTACAGAACAGTGTTGATGTACCCCACCACCCTTCTTGGTGCTTCCTTAATCTTCCATAGCAGGATTTAGCTTCCTACTGACCATTCCTGGCTGGTAGAAGCATAACAAAATCAATGTATATGTAGTGTAAATTGTTCTTGCTGCTTATAGTATTTTCAGCCTCAGCATTACCTTCAGCGGCAGCAGGAGCATAAGTGGGTCTAAAAAAAAACGCAGTAATATTGTGAATGCACTCAAATCTGTGTAACTTACATGAAATCCAACTCTGAAAAAAGGTTTTGTCATATTCTTTTAATTTACTCGAGAGAGCTTTAAAACCACTTCATGTCACAGAACCCCTATAACCATGGAGGGGGCATTTGTTATCTAAGAGTCAATCACTGGCAATGGTTTTCTCCCGCATGAATGCAAGGACAGCTTGTTAAATACACACGTTATTGCAGCCCCAAAGTTCAAACAGTTCAGACCAGCTATGTAAAAGCCAATTCCCTCAAGCATTACAAGATTTGCAATTTATTTGTTTTCAAAAAAACCTTTCATTCAATGAACTTAACTGGCACTATGACACTGATAATTGTGTGACTGCAGGTAGGGCACTTTTCCAAGTATTTTTATTAGGCCAACACAATACCATAAGTAAACATCTGCTAAAACCCAAGACTTTTTGTTTTTTAAACAAAATCTAGATGTTCATTTAGAAGAGCTATGAGCCATCAGCTTCTGTCATTAGCTTGCTCTAACTGCAGGACTTCTAACAGCTCTTGTCCACTGAATGCTACTGAGCAGTTGGTCTGTGCAAACTGAGTATTGCAGCTGTTCAGTACTGCTAAAATTTGGAACATTAAAAAGACCTTTTGAAGGTCAGTATTTTGAAATTATTAGACAGTTACTTCCTGTAAGTTTTGATGGATGATATGTATCTGTGCTGACACCATCAGCACCACCTGGTCTATACTGCTGCCATGTTTTGTAGTTCCCACGGGCAAAGGTGTTCAACTGAACAGCACATAGCCATGTGGCATTACATTTTCCTTAAAACACATGACACTGAATACAATAGCTGGTCACATGGGGGTTTATTTGCCAAACTTCTGCATAAGTCACTATGTGATAATGAGTATTGAAGTTCCAGGTTAGTTTGTGTTGTTTTGTTCTAAATAATCATTGACTTGTTTGTAAGAAGCTGTTTGGTAGCGCAGTGCTTTTTCTGGCAATGCTTTTAGCATGTGGGGAATACAGATTTATCTGGCTTACATGGATTTACATTAGAAGCATCTACCATTTCTTAGGAAAATGCATGATCTTGTCTTCATCCCAGCAGAGAATTCTAGTGGAGAACTCTTACTTGCCCCAGTGGCTTTGTTAGATTTGCTAATTTATAAACCCAATGAGTATTCAAAAGTGCCTTTTTAAAAAAAATTAATATCTAACTCAGTGTTCTGTCAGAGCACCATGAAGGCCTCAAGAAAAGGCCAGAATACTTTTACTGCTGTGTCTGGCCAAGGTGTTTTCTCCTAGAGCACCGTCCCAACTAACACATCTTCCTATTTTGTACTTTCCAGGAGTGTCCCGTTCAGCTGTCTGGAACTCTGTGAGCAACACATGGATGGGGGTAGCCTGCAGACCCCAGAAGACTGTACATTGACTAGATGAGATACAGGTGATGGTATAAAGTAGTTTAAAATGCAAATCATGCAGTCAGTAAGAAGAGATAAAATCCTGCACAGAAATGTACAAGGCTGAAGGTGAAATCATACAGCATTTTCCTTTTTGTATTAATTTGTGATGGAGAAAACTGTATTAAAGACTAAAACAGAAATCCAAAAGTTAGTATTTGAATGCATGACATGTCACCTTCCACCAAGGATCAATTACAGACCATTTAGTGGTCTGTGATTAAAACTGAAAACTTAGTTCATGAGTATAAACACACATTTTCTATAACATTGTCTAGCAAAACTCAAGCTCTTCAGGTAGGAAAGGAAGTAAATTTCAACCATTCTGAGAAAGGGCAGAGCACTCTATACTGCTGATGCTTTTCAAACAAAAGAAAACTTCTTTGCTATACTTTCAAAAAAACACTTTATCCCACCTTTCCTAGTTTTGACTAAGGGCTGCTTGGATTTCATATGCCCTTTCACTTAATCCTAAAAGCCATCCAGTTAGCAACTGCCTGTTGGGTATGCGTGCTACCAGGTGTTCTCACTGCTAATCCCGGACCCTGGGCCTCTACTGTCAAGACATGGGGAACCAGAAATCTCTTACATACTAAATAATTGCGAATATTTAGTAGTCATTTAGTACCTACTGATCATCTAAAATAATTTTGGATGATCAGTGTCAATTGAGTGGATAACAGCAAAAGCATTATCGAATGTCTCCTGTGCTTACACTCTGGGTCACTAATCCTGAAATAATGACTGGACCAGATCACAAGAGAGAGGGTGGCACACACTACACAGTGTACACGTGTGGCATATTCCTCCACTACAGCAGTGATAACTGCACTTTGAAAACTTGTTTGTCAGATATGGCTCAGATCAAAATGCAACACAGCTTTTTTAATTTTTTTTTTTAATTGGGCTGTGAAATGGAAATGATTTTAACAACTTTGTCTATTTAATTGACCTCTTTGGCAGTTATCCCAGATTTCAGAATTTCAGCTGTTACTTTATTTGCAATAGTTTCATCTTTTCCTCCCCTAGTATTTATGTAGAATGTAAGCTGACTGGCAAATTTATACTAACAGTTAAAAATGGATTGTGCAGAACAGAAGTTAACATGGTAGAGAGAAAATCAGCTCCAAACAGATTAGATTGGCCTGGTCAATACCAGTGATACTGTAGCGTTGTATTGTAAAGGTTTTTGTCATTTTTTTTCTTTTTTTTTGCTTTGTTCTTCTCCCTCTGTGCTGCACAGAAAAAGAATGAACACGCCCTGAGAGAGCACTGAAGGCCAGCTGGAGGCTCAAGCCCCTGGAACCCTGCAAATACATTAAGCAGTGTAGTAACACCAATATCAGCAGAACAGAGAAGTGGGTCTGACTTTTGGATCTGCTGTCAAGCTGTAAAATAAGAGCAGCCACTTGTTCTGTTTTACTGGGTTCTTCCCACTGTTTCCACTTCCCACTGTGCTCTGTTTGCCAGGTTTCAGTCCCTGCTCACTGCACAAATGGAGGCAGCTGAAGCACTGGGGTCTCCCCTGCCCTTGTCTTTCAGCCCTTTGCCTCTGGGCTGCTGAAGGTTTGCACTGGGACAGCTGGCAAAGCCAGTGTTCCAGTGTTTGTGCAGGACAGCCAGACTGTTCATGGAGAGCTCTTAAAACTCTGCAATTTGCAATCCAGAGTTTTAAGATAAACTAAAATTAGGTTGAACATTTGTGCGGTCAGTGACACACAAGAGCTGTGGGTGCTGATCTTATCAGCTGTTCCAGTACTGACCAACCCCTCAGGAGAAAGTCCCACCTACAGAAAGTGATCCATATTTGCTGATTTGAACAGAACAAACTCTTGTGTTATGAAGCATGACATCATAATGAAAAACGATGCTCTTATTAATAAATGGCTGAATGTTTTGGTTTGGATAAATTTAAAAAAAAATATAATAACAAGCTCATTCCTAGCATTTATTCACCCTTTCAAGACTACTTTTAACACTACTGAGCAAATTTTCATAGAATTGTCCATTGTAAATTCAAGACAGCTTTATGATAATAGTTCAGAGAGACTGTCATTGTATGTATGATTAGTACAGGTTTTATTCTTTCCCTTACTCTAATTTCTACTTTTTCTTTAACTATCTGATTTTCTTTACTCACAAGGTCTTCCTGTAGAGGTTTCTAGACAGTTTTTGGTTTTCACCCCTCTGAATAGCTGAGCAGCAGCAGTTTCACATTCACCTAGGCTCTAAATCAGATTTAAGCAAGAGGTTATACATTACAGGTGAGAACTGTTTCTTACTCTTTCAGAGCTGTTGTCTGGCATGTCATCTACTTGAGGACAATTGTCACTGTCACTATCTGTTCTGAAAACTTTTCACTGACACCTTACCTTGGACAGGTCCTGCAACATGTCTCTTTTTTCCAAGGACTTTGGGCATGAGAATCTCTAGTTCCTCAACTGTGAACATCACTACAAAAAACTTTCTAAGATCATTTATCTTATTTTAACTGAATAACTGATTTGTCATCTGTGGGGCACGTTTCACATTTAATCTAATAGTTTTCATGTTCTTTTCTGTTTTCTGCATTTAGAAGCAGCTTGTAGTCTCTCTCACTGCAGAGTAATTGTACACTTAATAAGAACCTCATAAAGAGTTTGCAGACTGTTTGCAACTATTTGACCCTTTGACCACCTTTGACTGTGTTCCTATAGTTCACCTTTTCAAGTTTGTCACAGCCTGTAGTGCTGAAACTGCAACAAACCAAAGATTTATTTTTTTCCAGGCAGTTTCTGTATGGTCCTTTGGACCAAATAAAGAGATATTTCCCCTTGTGCATTCTCCTCATGACTTAGTACTCCACACAGCAATCATCACACTTACCCATTCAATAAAGGATGACTCAAATATTCCATTAGTTATTTCCTGCCTTTGCAGATGCTCTGATCTCGTGCAGCACACCAGTTACAGTTGCTCTCCTCTTCAGCAGTATAATTTAGAAGCTATACTCTTCCTAGTTTAACCCTGAAAGTTGTCTCTGCAAGAATTCTGTACTAGCAATGGATACAGAGAGCTTCTCTCATTTGACACTGCATTCTTCAAGGTACAAAACCATTCTACTTTCCTGTGTAAACAATCTCTCGTATTTGTACCACACTATCTTGTGCCAAATACATAAAATACCCATTATTTTAGTTTTAAAAAAATGCCATTTCTCAATTGTATTTCTCACATGCCAGCATTTGTGTGTAAGCATATTTCTCTCCAGGTCTGGGTCTCTGTCTGTGTGCCTTTTTTAAAAGGGATCTGTCGGTGTACATTTCATAAGCCCAAGTTTGGGGTTTGCCAACCTGTGTGTTATTCTTGATGAGACTGGTATTTGGGGGTCATTTTATTACTTAATTGAATTTTCATTCTTCAAGAACTTCTGCTCTTCAACAATTATTCTGAACCTATCAGAGTCTGAGTTGCACAGGATATAGTCTAGAACACTGAAATAATCTAAGCTATAACTTGCAATTTACTAATAGTTTTGCTGTTTCAATATCTAGGAATGTCAACTTAGTGTACAGAGTCCTTTCCCTAGTTTTGCCATTCTAAACAGGAGCTACTTACCTTACTAATAACATTTTGATACGTAAGGAAAGCAGAGCTAAATTTCTTGAAGGATGATAAAAGACCAGTGTGATTTATTTCAGTTTCATAGGCAAACTTAAGGTCAGTCTACACACTAATTGTGTGAAAGTTTTATTAAGAGTTTGATTACTTTACTGCTACTAATCCCAAATCTACTGTACACTCACAGGTATTACCCTTTAAAAATCTCTGGGGAATGTAAATGTTATCTGTGTTTTAATATATGTGTATATGCATATATATTGGAAAAAAGGGACAGTGTAGTTCTTTGGCATTTTAGGCATGTTTGTAATAAAGTGAAAAACACTTAAGTATAAACACAAACGACACCCATATACCATGCATCAACTTCTAACATTAGTATTTAGAAGAGTTGTGGTGCATAATTATCTTGTTTATATGTGAAATAAAGAAGCGGAAATAATAAATCCAGATGTTCTTTCCCAATTACAGTGCACATTCAACTTGAAATCTAGTTATGAATCTGTATTCCTAATACTTAGATAGCTGGTGCACACCACTGTATTCCATCTATTTAAATTGATATTGCTTCATCTTTTTAATAAAGAGAAACATTCCAAATTTCTCAGGTAACTTATCTGGCCACTCTTTAACCTTGCCCATATTTGGCTTAAAATTTTCATATCCTCTTTGTTTTCCTAGATCCTACAGCACTCAGGAAGTTCTGTGGCAGCTCTGTATACTTTGAGTGGCGGATTTTACTGAGTGACTGTACACCTGGTTCAGAACTGCTGAATTTCCAACTATTTCAGAATATGCAGGTGTCCAATTACAGTAATACTTCAGTATTACACAGCGCTTTTCACTTGTAGCTCATAAGACTATTAAAAGACTTTCCCCTTTCCTTTGTGCTCCAATTTCAAACATTGAAGCATTTCAGTAAGCAGACTCACCCTCTAGATTTTCCACATAGGAGTTGGACATGAATGCTGAATGTTGAGTCCATTTCTCTGTTGAACCTGATGGCTGGTATTCCAGGTCAGAGATAAAACTGTCTGTATCAGAGAAGAAGACAGACATAACTACTGACTGGACTAAACCAAGAAGTTACAGTTCACTCAACGAGGAAGTGATTTTCATTTTTCTTTTAATAGCACTAAATTTAAATACCCAGCTTCATTCACAACTAACTACTGCGTAAGCCGACATAAATAACTATTTATAAATTATCAGAGTGCTTATAAAAAACAGTATCACTTATCTTCTATACTTAGTTACTTTTCAGTTAGCAGCCATAAAGGTAATGGTTAATATTTTTGGATGTCTGCCTAGATGTATCATCATGATTTTTATACTACTTAAGTTTGTTTTAGTATTTGTGTTAGTTTAAGACATTCCTCCTGCAGTTTTCTCAATCTGCTTTACTTACTGTGGTCAAATTAAAAAGTGCTCTGCCCCTTGACAGCAACTCCGCTGAACAAGGTAGGCAAAAGAGTACTAGTAAATAAAACTTTTATTATTTTCCCTATCCCTTAACCAAAGGAAACTGCCCCTGTACACAGCTATCGTCTTCCTCTTTACTTGTCACCCTGTCTGTACACTTTGTCCAAGGTACTGCTCTGCAGTCAGACCACACACAGATCCAAGTGCCAGAATACCAAGTACTATCTTGGCACAGGTGGCTCTCTGAGACCAAGGCCATGTGAGAAATCCCAGAGGAAGTGGAGAGCTGTGTTTCACTGAACTGCTTTTCCTGGAAGAAAAATCAATGTCAAATAGTGTGTTCATTACTTTAACCAACAAGTGTGTGTTTATTCAGTTGTGATTGGTGGCTATGCAGAGCTTACAACAGTGTACAGGGTTGGATATAGGTTTTTTTTTTTTCCTGTGCAAGACAGAGCTGCAAGTTTAGTAAATTAGGCTTTAACACAATTAACAAAATTACTCTGGACCTTGGCCAATTTGTGCCTTCTGGATAGATGCACACACTTGTTTTGCCAGCATGGTTTTTAAGCCCTGCTTAGGGGTCACTCCCAGGAGAATGAGTCTCCTCTTACTTCCTTCTGAAATTCAAGCAGCTCAAATGACTTCTTTGGGTGACTTCTTATGCTTAATTGTTCAAAGTGTAAAGTTACATGTATTTAAATGGAAAGTGGAAAGCTTTATCTGGGTTTCAATGAAAATGCCCACTGCCACTGTGAAGGAAAGGAGTAGATTAAAGATAAATTCTTGTCAAATAATAGGAGATTAAGAAAAGAGCATTTTCCTCCACCAATTATGGTAGAAACAGCAAGAAAGTGATATTTAAATAAAGATCTAATGAAACCAGGGAGATGGGCAGGAAACTACCTCAAGGGGAAACAAATTAACGTTTGCCAGCAACCCTCTTTAAAGGCACAGCTTTCAAAGGAGCAGACAACAAACACTGTCAAAAAAACCTCCAGAGAGAACAGTGCAGTTCATTAGCTCCTAAAGCAACAGGCTGTGCACCATAAAGACAGCACGGCCTATACGGTGAGGGTTATCTGTCACTCTAGCACGGAAATATGATTCTGAGCAGTTTTTCTAATTAATTTCATACTTAGAGGGATTCTGAGGTTCTCGTGTGCCCTAACAAAGCTGCCAAATATTGAATGTTTGCTTTTATCAACCCCTGACAAATTGTCATGCACAGCACACATAACATGTCTCCAGCCAGCACCCTCTAGAATGAAGCACATGCGCTTGCCTTGGGCACACACTACGTGTTGTTCGGGAAACCTGGTAAATAAAGCATCAGCCTTTTCAAGTGTGTTATGGAGCATAAGAGGTTTGTTCAACACGCACGTAAGTTAGATAGAACTTGAGCTACCAGGTAAACATACATTAAAAATACCTTTCTACCTCATAATTTCATAAACATTTGAGAAAGTTTTTTACATCTTAAAGCACTACGAAAACGTGTTCTGTACTGAAAGAACATAAAACCAAAATTAAAACTATTAAATTGAAACAAAAATCAAGAAACCTGACACCCTTTAGATCTGTTTAACTGATGAAAAATTCATATTTTTATGAATGACTTCTTTGTCTTGACTCATCCCTTAAGTAAAGAAAGGTTAAGAAAAGCTTTAAACCTTCAATTATCTGCACCAGATTTGGGTCAGAGTAGGAAGTCATCTTAAAATTAGAGCTCTGTTATGGATACAGGCAGACCAAAAGGCTACTGGAGTTATACCATTTGTTTTTCAGAATCTCTTCCTACAGGAGTCAACTAACTTCCTTTTTTATAGCACCATCCGATTAGAAGTTTAGCCTGTGTATCCTTTATTGCTGCTGAACTGAAGTAGGATGTGTGGGCAATGGGACTTAAACCTAGAAGATGTACTAGTTTTAGAAAAGTGGCTTTCCAAAAATATTTTGGGATATGTGATTGTAGTGTAGCTACAGGAAGTAAGAGTTCCTTAACATGCCCCACAAAAAGAAGTTGATACAATTGTCTTTGTGTGTTTAGGGGAGGGCTGAGTGAATCGCTCTATTGACAGAGGCAACAATGATCAGTAAACCTCAAAGAACACTACGGACAGACTGCAGCACACATTTCCTCACACACAGGCCTTTGTTGTCAACTCCAGAAAGAACTCTATCAGCTGCATTTATGTGAAGAATCCCTGTAACTACATCACATTGCTCAGTGCAGTATATTTAGCCTGGTTTTGACTCCACATGACCAGCAACTAATAGAGTGTCAACTTTCCCTAACAACAAAAAAGAAAAAGCTGCCAGGCTATAATTAAGCCTCAGTCCTCTGTGCCGTGGAGCAGCCACAGCTGATTCTGCTCGTTTGACACCAAATCAGTCATATGCCAGGCCATGTCTGCTATGGCAAACCACCAAGGACATGGTGGGCTGCCTTGCACATCATCATTCCAAGTCATAGGCCAGGCTTGCTTTTAATAATTTCAGGTTTGATGCCAACTTTACTAAGAAGTACTGCTTTTTTATTAACTGACAAAATAAGGCTGCATGAAATGCTGGAGGAGTACAGTTTTCCTGTGCACATCATCTTTATAGCTGCACAGAGAAGCTGCAGGTGGCTGCAGAGTCACAGCACAAGCTCTGCAGTTATGTGGTACAGTAATAAATATCTTGTTCATGTCTCGGTCATGATGTCACACTCTGCATTTCTGTATCCTGGTAAACCCAACTCCCTTAAGTCATGTTTACCCCCTTCTCTCACACAAGGAGAGAGATGAGTCTGAGCCAGGATTAAGCATGAGCCTTGGTGCTAGAGGACATGTGCTGTGCAGTGGAAAGCAGTGCTGAAGTGTCTCAGTGTATTTTTGCAGTGTCACAAGGCGTGCTGAGCTCCTTCCAGCTCTGCTGCTATTGCCAGCACCTACACCACGATGCAGACATGCCACTTGCTCTCATGGAAGAAGTCTCTAACCTCTTCTAATCCTTAAATGGAAATATTTCTGCAGTGGTACCACTAGTTGAGCTTACTTTGCATTCGTTACAAGATGTCCTGTGGCTCTCCGAGGGAGAGCTGGTCAGACACCAGAGGATTTAACTGACATTTTTACAAATCAGAAGTGTGTAACTGGTCTTCTCAATAGATGCCTTGCTGTCACAAATTTTATGAACACGATGAATCCACTAGAAGATATGGTCATAGCCTCCTTTAACTGCTGACAACCCCTGATGGATAACACTCTTCACCTTTCCTCACCACTCCAACCTTTTGCTTTTAAACTACTGCTCAGTCTGGATCTTAACCCATGCTGGGCATGCTGCAAGGTGCAACATTTTGCTCCATGCTTAGGAGAGAGTAAAACCACCTTCGATTTGAGATGTACATCTCAAGTCTGAGCTGCACCAGCAAGACAACAGGTTTTTGAGCTGCTCTCCTCCATACTAAGCTAGACTCTTTCATTCAGTATTTTCTGAATGCTCCATTTGGCAGGACACTGCCTTAATTAAGAATGACCTGTTATTGCATAAGTTTTAAATATAGGCAGAAATACAAAGTACAGTCATTCTACAATATTTTCTTATTAATTACTACTTTGATTATCCAGAAATTAAGCTGAAGCTACAGTAAAAAGCAACCTGTAATGATGTACACATTTTCAAGCCAAGATAGAATAATCTGAGCTTCTCAGCAAGAGACTTTATCAGCTAGAGAGTCATCACAGAACTACTAAAATGAATGAATGCTAATGGCTTAGAATTCTACATGGAATGTGGCTGACAAAGCAGACTTATTGCTTTATATACACAAAATGGTTGGGGATTTCTAGTTATGATTTATAGTAAATCCACATACTGGATTTTCTAATCTCCAGATTTATGTAATGGAGATGCAATGAGTTACAAAATGTAAGAGGATTAGTAGAAGGTCATCCTGATTTGCTGAATACAGCCTAACGTAATACCTTTAAAATGGTTAAATACAGCTGTACATGCTAGAAATCTCATCACTGTAGAAAGCCATGAAATCCAAGGTAAACTCCCTCCTAAACTGCAAACCACAAGAGATTAAATTTTAGATCAACAGTATTAGAATAGATTTAAATCTAAAACTTGACAGTGGGATAGCTAAACCATCACACTAGGAGCACTTTTTAAATCAGACTGAGGGGAAATTAATAAGGCCTCATCATATAACTACACTGAGTCTGACTTTGAGTAGCTTTTTTTTCAAGTGGGGAAGAAATGGGACCTTTATTAGAGGAATATGCAACTGAGCACAGTATGGATGATGGGTATGGGAAAGGATAGAAATGACCAGCTGCCTGTTTCCTGTCACTGCAGCTGCCTTGTTTACACCTATTTGCAGCCCTAAACATTCCACTGTCTATCCAGGGCAATGTTAACCCGGGGTGTTGGGCAGAGGGTTACTTGCTGAAAGACATTAAGGGAAAAAAGGTCCAACAACACACCAGGGGAGAGAAAAAGCAGAGGGGACAAATAAAGTGTAAGAAGCTGCTTTCACGTAGTTCTGGTCTGAAAGTTTACCAGCTTGTGCAGCCTAAGGTGGTAAAGACCTAAGCAGAAAAGAGGAGTTTTCCAGAACACATTTGAAGTAGTAACATACAATAAATATTACTTTGAAATTGTGTTGTTTCAAATGTTTTCTGTAATATAATTTTATTTTCATATCTAGGTATCCTCATGCATGTTGATCCCTTGTTTCTTCAAGTGAATTAAAAAGTGTTTCCTGCAGGAAGCAAAGACAGGAAGAGAAGAAAAAAAGCAGAATAGCAAATTCTGCTTGAGATTAGAGAAGTCTAAAGACATCAACAGGATCCTGTTGAACAACAAGATAATGAAGAGTCACACAAACTTCAGTATAGGAAAAAAAAAAGGAAAAAAGTGTCCTTTATGCAGACACACAGGTGTAGGATCTGCTTTCAAATTATGTAATCTGTGTTCACTCATACTCTGAACAGAGCCCAGCTTGCTCTGACTCATAAAGGGCAAAGGAACACAACAAAATTTAAAAAGATGCTCCACTGGTCATTGGCAAACATCTTAGACTTTTCAGGGAAGCTGTAAATGGTGACTCTAGATGTGTTACACCTTCCAAGAGATGCTGGATTAAGACTAATCCAGATGCTCTTGGCTTGAGCACTGATGGATGAAGCAGCTTTGTAGTTCTGGATTAGTGGATTTGGAGGGGTTTTTGGTGTGTTTTGAAGAAAACACCTAACTGCTCGTTGAAGAGGCAACAAGATTCACTTTTAGAAGTCTTGCTCACAGGAATTTACGTAACTACTACCCAGACCTCCACTCCTGGAGGTGGGGTGGTGGTGTTTTGGTGGGGATTTTTGTTTTGTGTCTTTTCGGTTTTGTCTTTTTTTTTTTTTTTTTTCCGTTTTTGTGGTGGGTTTTTTGTAGTGTTTTTTGGTTTTAAAGAATTTTAAATCATATCCTGTCAAGCTACACAGGAATTCCAGGACTTTGTCATGAGGTAGCACTTCCATACTGCACTGAAATTTTGTAAAATATTTCTTGAAATATTTTCTCGGCAAAGAAAACATCTACTATTTTAATTTTTAAATAGTGCATGTTACTTAAAAGAAAGAAGGTAATTTATGCCCTCAGAGGTTTTTCTGAATTTTTTGTTTACTTTAAGACTACTGACTTATATATTTAAGTCAGTAATCCAGACATGATTTAAAGAATTTTTAATTGGCTTTGTTTCAGTGTTTTGAGAGCTTTATTTGCCTTAATTGTTAACCCTTAAAAACCTATTTTCCAACTAAATATAGTTTTCATGTTTGATGTATTAGTTGGGAAAACATACTGTATCAACATTCATTTATGTATGTAATTATGTTTGGATGTTTTTCTTTAATTGTTATAACATTATTGCAGAAAAACCTATTTGCCATTTGTGCCTGGCTCTATTTGTACGGAAACTAAAATTCAAATAGACATGAAAGAAAAAAATTTAAATTAATTTTAAAACCAGAGTAATACATTAGATATATTATTAAGAAACTGTTCTTGTCTAAACATGTTGTTGTTTTTTTTTTTTACTTTAAGCTGATTAAGTAGAGGAAGTATTCACTCATGTTGAGAGAACTGAGCAGCTCTTTAAGACTTTTGGAACAGCAGGTTTCAGACCAGACATCTGATTTGTATTTGCTGATTGAAAATGAAAAAACGCCCCAAGCCCAACCCCCAGGCATGGCAGGAGCATGGAAGGGAAAGGCAGGGAATCTCTCTGCTTGCAAACCTATTGCTGCTGCCAAGTGCTATTTAGCATTTAAATCCATGTTCAATTTTCCATATAGGAAGAGTCTTGTTTAATCACCAGTTTTCAGAAATTCTTCAAATTTCTATAAGAATCATTATTTAAAAAAGAAATTAATAAAGCTGTGGCCATTTGACTCACATGTACATTGATTATATTTTTCTAAACAATTAATCAGCAGCCATGCTTGAAGTGTGGCTATTACAGCTTTTCCTGTGCTTCGATGTCTGCCAGCACAGAAACAACTCAGTAATGTCGGTGTGTTAAGCCATGGAAATAGTTTATAAAAGCAACTAATATTTGTGATGTAGGGAAAAAAATGGCTTTCTTTTTACTGTGCATCCATTTTAATTTCTGAACAAGTATAAACAAACTGTCAAGATGCTCATAAATGCTAAACACTTCTGCTTACACTGTGAACAGTCTAACTACAGTATTTAGTTGTATTTTATTTATTTCTACATCTTTTGTTTGTGGGTGTGGAGGGAAGAAGGATGAGAAGAAAGTAGGTTCTAACCTGACATGTCCAGAAACACTAGATTTCTTTCTCACTCCTCTATACAGAAGTAGAAAATGCTACTTTTTTTGCTGCATATTGTTTCACAAAGCCTTGCTCTCCTCTCCTCAGCAAGTCCTTGATAGAATCAGTCTCTTTCTTCTTTTCTAAATAAAGTTAAGTTGATTGATAAACAGTGTTTCTAAAAAGAGAGCTTTGTTTAATTAAGGTGGCCTCTGAAATGAAAGCCCAAGTATATTGGTTTCTCTCATTTTCTTCCTACTGTGCCCTGTCTTTGAAGGCATTTCCTACTAAATTTTATTACTACTGTCAGGAGGTAACAATAGCAAGGCTGCATTTATGCAAGGAGCTGGGACTGACATGCATATTTAACAGATGGCCCACACTTAAATCTTTATACTACTGCTGATGTAATTAAGTAATTACTAGGGATGGTTAAAAATCCCCAAGCCACAACAGTAAAGGCTATTGGAGAAAAGATACACTAGTGAGATTCCCTTCATCAACACCAAACACATTTTACATGTCATTTAAGGCCAGGCCCTCTGTTCTTCCAGTCTTAGTAGCGTTACATGTTCTATAAATTGCTTTGCATCAACACCTCCAATAGTCTGATGTTTGGGATTGGATATTTCTTCTTTTTTCACTTGGTTGGACAAGTTTTGTAAGTGACACTTTCCAAGTATTTAAAGTACAGACTTTCACAGCCTGCCTTTAGCACTGAAACATCCTTGTTCTGTTCATGTTCAACAACTGAATTTCTCAAAAAGGTAGCCAGCATGGAGAAAGCAAAACAGCCACTGTGAGCAGAGGTGCTGAATGATGGCAGTGTATCTACAGAACGTCTGTGAGGAGACTAAGAGAGTGCCAAAATGCATGTGAGAGATTTTCAAAACACTACCCTGCCCTTCAAAACTGGGACAACTCCAAGAAACGAGAATCTAAACTACATCTATGCAACTTAGATATTTTATTATGACTTTCACTGAAACATACCAATGAGACAACCCGAAAAGGCTTCAAATCAATTCCTTGAATATAAGGTGTCAATGTGTAGGAGTTAATCCTCAAGCCTTGTTTTATGACAAAACCAAATTCTATGGGCAAATTAGACTAAAACACTTGAACTGTATAACTACAAATTTACAGCTGATATAATTAGTTTTAAATAAGTTGTTTCTTTGGACACAAATATATGACTCCATTGTGATGATACAAATTTCCTTCCGTGAAGAGGAGTGCATTCTAAACCAAACAACCCTCACACACACACTTTGCAGTTTCATGTAGATTATATCCCAGTATTAAAATATTATACCCACTTACCATCATCTAGTGTGATGTCTTGTAGTCCTATGGTTTGAAAATTCAGCTCTCGATCCTCAGGTTCGGGTTTAATGTTAATAGCTGCCCCATCGGGTGCAAACGGAGATGAGTCGCACACAGAGTGGTGCCCGAGGGGTGACACAGCGCTGAGAGCCCCCAGGGCAGGGCTGGGGGCCTGGGGGGAGTGCTGGCCTGAGTGACTAGTGGGTGGGGGGGAGGAGGTGGGTCCCGAGCTTGGAGACTGGTAAGGCAGAGGCTGTAGCTGCGGAGAGGAAGGTCCAGACAGCGGCGAGTGGACCAATGGGTGGGAAGCTGTCGGGGACGGGGATGAAGCGGATGCCGGATTTGTAGAATGGTATGGGACTTGCTGCAGCTGGGGAGAAGACTGCCCAAGGGAGAGACCCATTGCAGAAGGGATGGAGCCCTGCCCAGTGCTTGGGCAGTGGTATCCCATTGATGGCAGGTGAGCAGATGACTCTCCTGAATGAGCTGGATGTGCCAATGGGTGCCCTGCTGTACTTGATGTTGACACAGAACCTGGATTTGAAGAATGAAACTGCACTGGTGGTAGAGCTTGGCAGCCAAGATTTATCAAATGAGGTACAGCTGTGTCTTGAGGAAATGAAATAGCATCAAATCCTTGGCTGGAGGCAGAGTTCATAGGAAGACCAGACTGTCCATTGTACACGTTATTAGACTGCATAGGCGGGTAAGAAGGCCTCACAGAAGGTGCTGATGTTACCTGAAAAGACTGAACCACAGCAGGAGGCAAAACATGACACTCTTCACTTGGACTAAGGTTTCTACCTTGCACGTGTGGCAGGTGGGACACTGCTGAGGTCACCATTGCTGTATACGGTGCTTGAACAGGACACACAAGGCTCCTGGGTGACGTAGACAGCAAACTGTCATGTGGGTGCCCTTGCTCTGGTGAAGGCAGCTGAGTTCGGATCGAATGCAGGCCCTGGACGTTGCCTGTGTGTGGAAGGGCCAGAGATGGAACAGCAGACAGATCCACCTCATCTCTGTGCTCTTGCTTCATTATAACTAGAAAAAGTAAAACAGTTTCACAATTTCAACCCATCTGTATCCCGGGATAAATACACACCAATTGCTGTTTAACAACCACAATAGCACTGTTAGTGTCGTTGCTGCAATGTCCCTTCTTTTGCTCTGCTTTCATCATCTTTGACTTCATGCCTGCTATATTAACCCAGAGAAGCCACAACAACTCTCCTAGCACGTATTCAAAGGTAGTTATCTTCCCTTCTAACACACCCTCCTAAGAAATGTATGTATTTAAAGACATTTGCAACCCAGTTAGAGAAAGTCCAGTACATCTAAAGGATGCACTCATCGCCAGAGGGACCAGGAGGCTGCTGCTGGGCACCACTGAAAACAGGTAGATGTGAGTTCAGTATCAGGCACTGGCAAAACATGAAGGAAATTTTTAGCAGGCTTCAAGCTTTCCTTCACCTCTGATCACTATGACAGTCGAACTTCGGCAATACAGAAACTAGTTTGAGTAGTGCACCTTGTTTCAATTACAGCAGCTCTTTCAGTACATGCCTCAACTTCAATGATGGCAACAACTGTTCTTATTATACAGTTACAAAATTACACACTTTCAGTTACAGGCTTGGGTTTTTTTAACTATTGATAGTCTCATGAAAAGATACTGATCTTAAGTACAAGTAGTAGAAAAATGTTAACACTTAACAGCTCAATTACTACTTTATAAACACAGTTAACTAAATATTGCAGTTCAATGAACTGTTACAAATACACAGATGAGATGGATTTTAAAGTGTTTGTGTAATAACAGCTGCAGTTATGATTAAAAATTGCTTCTTATTTAGGTAATGTGTCATTACTTCATTCCACCAGTTAAATACTTTAAATACAGATTTCTCAAACAAAAACATAGTTTAAGATGTGTAACTATCTTAGGAGCTGATATTCTTAAAAAGAGTTGAAAATTACCAGAAATCTGGTAACAATTAGGCGTACCAGACACCTAAAGTAATACTGCCTATATAACACAGGAAGGTATGAAGGTAATCTTAGAGCACAACAAGTGAGCACAACTTATTTTAAATTGTGTAAACTAATGGAAGTTGGGTTTGTCAGCATATATATTGGCTTCAAGAAGTTTATATTAATATCCGTATCCGACTTTAAAGACTCCTTCAGATATCTGGCTTCAAGTGCTCCAAGCAGTGCTTAAGAGTCCCCACCATCACTGGTTCCCTGGGAATTCTGACTGCTCTAAATGGGTGCGCAGTTCTTAAAGGAAAAGAAAGTGGCAGGCAAAGAAGCAGGCATTGCATGTCTCATAGCAACCACTTCCACATCCAAAGAGGAGGGATTAAGATGTTTTAACTACACTTACAGTTAACATGTTCCATTTTCACTTCTGGCTAAGTTACAAACTATTTTCTCTCAGTAAGCTGCAATGTGTCCAGGGTGGGGGAAAAAATATTTTGATCTTCCTTGTATCTAAACCTGAGGGGTTTTTTTGACATTTTAAAAGAGCAAAAAACCCCATAAACCTGTTCTTCTATGATCTCACTATTCTCCGTGTCATCACCAGGGTTATTTAAAAAGCAGCTTCTGAGATTCATCATCATTCTCAAAGAAAAGCAGAATGCAAAAATTAATTCTCTAGAAAATGTAATGAAGAAATACCTGGCTGTAATCATAGTACTGGAGCTTATTACTCTGTATTTCAGCTTTTTAATTAGACAACCTTTAGAAGCTCTTTTATAGCCAATTCAAAGCTAACTTATGTACCTATCAAAGGGACGCGACTGTCTGAGTTTCTTTCAAATGTCTACTTTAAAAGCAAAATAAAATGCAACTTCTGTGTTTTTCATTTAATACCTGGTGTATAAGTAAAACGTTGAGACTGACTTTTTTTCCTCTTGCCATTGCAGAGATAAAACTGCACCTGAACTGCAGCTGTAATGGTTTTGTTATGGTATGGAGGAACTTCAAGTACGATGTTTGCCTACAGGAAAATTGAAACAGAAAAGTTTTACGTATCAAATGCAAATGAAACTGCTATTAATTACAGAAAATCTAAAACACTTATTGCAAAATTAAAGCACCCTAATATTTTGAAATTGTCAAACTTCAAGTTAATGCACATTGCATAATAAAACAGTACTATAAGCAAATTTTTATTTGGAGACTTTTTTCTTTTAAACTCAAGTGCTCTGAAGATAAATGCTTTAATTAAATAGACACATCATCTAAAGGATGCTTTATCTGCCAGAGTATAAAAAACCTCTAGCAGTCAAAGAATTGCATTTTGGATCATTAAGCTTTTAAGAAAAATTTTAATGCACTGGAAATAATTTGTCATCTCCGTAAAATTATCTTAAGTTTCCTTTTTTCAGTTTTCAAATTCCTTTTTCATTGCTTTCACAAAAAGCATGCTATTTCCAGTTCCTTCAAAGCATCATCTTAATGGTTTCTTTACAGTGTTAAGTCAATTTAGAAGTCTCCCATTGTCTGTCTGAATTAGCCAGTGATCTACTTACTTTACTAAATGAAGTCTAAATTTCAGAGCAACAATGAAAATGTGTATTTTCTCACTGAATAAAAATAAGCTTTCTAAATTAAGAAAAGTTGTTTCTCACCCCTTGACACTTTTCCCTAATTATTTTCCCTTCTACCTCCCACTGAGGTCGTCCATCTGTTGAGAGAAATTTAGAAATAAATCAAGCAAAAAGCATTTTCTAATACACTTAAATAATTAATCTTAAAAATACTTAAATACTTATTATAAAACTGCATTTCTTTTCAATCATAAAGAGGTCATATAAGCAGCAGACATAAATTGTAAAAAAAGTGTCAAGTATAGAGATGCTTTAGGAGTCTCAATACTATAACCATTGTAAGCTGACTGTTTTTCAGGATTCTGCATTTTAACCCAGTAGATTCCATACAGTAGATTGAATTCCAAAGGAGGCAGTGGGTATTGTTAAGTGTACAGAGTGCTTTTTACCCTATTTTTCTAAAAACATTTTTGAAAGGTAGTTAAATTGCTTCTAACACTTGTGGTTATTCAAACACGCTGATGACTTAGGGGCTAAGTCACCATGCAAGAGATAACATAAGCCACACCTTTGTGCCCCGACCCACAGGTTATAGACATTTACCACAAACACCTTCCCCTGAATCCACAGACCCTGTAGTTCAATTGCTGGGCAAGTCGTCTGCATTGGTAAGGAAGTAAATCACCTAGGGAACCTCTTTCTGCTCTGACCTGGCATAACCCATATCCTTAACTGAGCACTCGACTCTCTCTGTCACTGGGGTTTGTACAGGGTAGCAGGAAAGCAGCAGCAGCAGCGTTTCTATCAAAGCTGTTCAAGCACATCGATCAGTGCCCAAATGAAGTTTCAGATTACTATTCAGGACTTTTTTTTCTTTTTAAAACATCATTGCTTCTTAAAATCAAACTCAGACAATGGTTTTGGTTTCAAGAAAAAACAGCAAGACAGTATTTACCTTGTCCTTTTTCAAAAAATATAATTTTGGATTCTGCAAGAAAATTGGATCCTGTCACCACCATTTCATGACCTCCATTTACTGAGCAACTATTGATGCTGTACTTCTCAATCTGAGGAAGCTCTTGAGCAGACCGCTGAGCTTTAAAAAATATTAAGAAAAAAATATTATGCACAGTTTTGATCATAATGACATTTATTTTGTGATTCTAACTTGAAGAATCAGGAGTGAAACTAAAATGACATCTATTTACATACACAATTCATACCTGTGTATGATATATCTTTGTTTTAAAAATTATGTTTAAATGGCGTAATTACAGAAAAGAAACACCAAAAAGCCATGAATCTCAACAGTCTCTATTTTTACAGCAAATGAAATTTTTAGTTTAGGAATACTAGTTTAAAAATTATTTTAGTATTTTCTAGACAAAGTGAATTCTAGGAGAAACTGAGATTGTTTGAGGTCATGTCTTGATTCTTCAGTGCTAGCATTTGACAAATGAACTCTCCAGAAGTTCAGCTGTTCACTAGATAATACTTTATAAAGACAAGTAACAGTATAGACCCTTGTAAATGAAACAGTATTAGTTCTACCTGGAATGAATATTTTCTCTGAGATGAATCACCTGCCCCTTCTCATACAAAGGAACTACTGAAGCTGCTATGTGACTGCACTATAAGGTATTTTTTACCCTAAACCTTCAGGCTACCACTTGGCAAGAACTGTCTTTAAGATACCTCAATTTTTGATAATTGAGCTTTTATGCACAATGCTTTTCACACTTGTTATATATAATTCTGGCAATAAATATTCTCAGAATGACAATACTACTGACACATGCAGAAAACATGCGTATAAATTATGTATAGTTAAAGCAATCTTACAGCATTCAACGGGGATGGAAGCAGTCTGCAGAGATAAGACTTTTCCACTAGGCTGTGGGATGTGAACACGGAACACAAGTCGCACTCTGGTGTTCTTCCTTCCGATATCTGTCTCTCCTTTACGGAGCTCTATGTCTGAATTGCGAAGCTTCAAAATACCAGCACAATCGATACTATGGGATGGAGAGGACGGACAGATGGAGCAGAAGAAAATGAATCAAACTATTGACAAAATATAGTCTGTAAGCCTTTCTTTTGTTAAAGAATGAAGCATGTTTTATTTTTTCCCCATGTTATTTTAAGTGTTATTTTAGATGTCTGAGATTAAAAGAACTGTTAGTGTGAAAATGACAGCAAGTACTCTGTTGAAACATTTTGTCTTGTAAATGTCTAACTGCTGCTTTTTCGAACCTTTAAAAGATTATTTGATATTGCACGTTATCTAACCTTCCAAGTAAGTTATATAATATAGTAAACATCATTTACAAAGAGCAAGAGACCTATATTTAGTTCTGCCTTAGGAAGGACTAGGGAATGACAAAATCCCAGCTCCCATTCCACACAGCGGTCAGTTATTCATATGAGACACACTTACCTCAGTCAATTAACATGTATGCATGAGAGCTTCCCCGCCTTCTCTACTCCTTTACTTCTGACTACCTAAACACTGATATGTTTTAAGAGACGTGTCTATCTTAATCATGATCCACATTTGTGGAAAATACATTTTCCTACATGACTTTTCTTTCACCTTTGCACAAATGAAGAAAAAAAAGACACATAGCAACCAAACAGCTGATTGATGGAGTGGTGTACCTGGCTGACATATTATTTTCGGGAAGAAGTGGAATTTCCAAAACTTTGGTGCTGGCAATGATTATCTCTTGACTGGCTGTCGCGACTGTTTTCCCAGTGATCCGGTGCACCTGGTAGAAGGCGTGAGGCCGCAGGTACCGATCGTCCGCTGTCCCGATGAACATTTGGAGGTTCACGGGCTTTTCACTGTAGCCCAGGAGCTGATGGAAAAACACATTAGTTGACTTCTGCTGCATCTGTGTGTGCAATTCTTCAGCAATCAGAAAACTGAGTACAGGCATCTGTCCCCAAAGACAAGTACTGGCAACAATTACCAGAACAAATGGATATTAAAATACCATTGTTACTATTTTAAAATCTTTCAAAGAGAATTGCTCTATCTACAGAATTTCAACATCAAAGCTACGTTATGTTATAGGTCTGTTTCTGATATGGTTTTTAATCAAAGTCTAATTATCAATTTTACTAAAGATCGCCTAGATTCCAGAAATACTAAAATATTTTAGTTTTGCTACTATGAAATTGGAATAGTAACTTTTATTAAACATAAGAGGTTTTGTGAATGCAAATGTATCATGTTAGGACTGAGAAAATGTAATTAATAGCTGGAAAATCAGGTGTGGTGTATTTTTGGTAAAGAAAATATTTAAAACCTCCCAAATTTTGCAAATGTTGATTCATACATCTTTCCTTTTCTTAAATACACATCTAGCCACCAATACGTTCAGTTATCATAAAACCACCTGTTGCTTGAGCTAACAGCAGTAATTCTAGGCACAACACATTGAAACATCAGAAAAAATAATAAATTGACTCTAAAAGAAAAAGCTCATTTTACAATAGTACAATGGTAATATTATCCAGGAGATTTAAGAAAATGAGTGTAGCCAATAGTAATACCAAAGTTTCCTTTAGACACTGCAATTTTAAAACTGAAGCCTATAAAATGTTTCTTATAAATCCATTTTATTTCACCTTCCTGCAATTGGCAGATTGATGCATGCTGCAAGTTATATAATTTCTAAACTGCACTGGAGCAAATTTATGTTTCATTGACTTTGACATCAACTTATGTTCAAACCAGAGGCAGGGCCAGACAGTCATTCTTTAAACGTGGTTTTGTCATGTCAATATTTTTGTCTCTAGGGAGAGTTATTTGGTCACACAACAATATTATCCAAGCTCTTTACAGAACTAACACTTAAAAACCAAACAAAACATGTCAATTTAACCTACTCAGAAGAGTAATTTAACGCCAGTAGTCAGCAGCACAACAGCCCAAAGCACACCCACATCAGCAATCAGAAGCCCCACTGCTGGTGCACTACTCCTGGCAGGAAGTTTTATGGACCAAATGAATGCCTGCTTTATATATTCAAGTTATGGCTTCAACAGCGCCTACCAGACCTATCACTTTTATTAGAGCTTTCTCAATCAAAACCAGAAGTTTGGTTTCCAACAGAAGTCTGGAAAGTCTTTGTCAATATGTAACATCTTTTTGTTCTCCCAGGACTTCTCAGTACAAACACTGATAAATCTAGCTAAAAAACACCCAACAAACCAAACCAAAATAACCCTTCTGACACTGAGTGGAGGCAGTCTAGATTATCAGAGTTGCTTCCCATGTAAATAAATGTGATAAACAAGCACTTATAAATGTTGCAGTAGATATAAAGAATCTCCTGTGGCCATCAGTGTACTGACAGGTTTCTCTCCATTCATCTGTAACTACAGGAACACAACTGGACCACAAGGAACTTTCCTCTTACTGTTGTGATCAGAGTGGATCACAGAGACTGTTACATCAATGAAATACATACACATGCACAAGTTCCGTTTTATACTTGATGCAGGACTCCAATGTCTTTCCAAAAGATTTTTTTGTTAAATATCAAATGAATATTTTAATATTTTCTATTAGTCTGAATTATTTTAGGACATGTATTAGTTTAGCATTTACAGCAGCCATCTTTCACAAGTTCTCAACACTGTGACTGCATCATCCATTTTCCTCAGAGTTAAAATTAAATCTTAACACAATGGAATCCAGCCTGGATGTGACGTTAGTGTGTTCACTCTAATACTGGGAATTATAAAAATTACAAGCCAGACCTATTCAAAATTTTGACTAAGTTCCAAATGCGGTCATTGTGACAAAGCTAATTTCCAATTAAGGTTATTTTCCCCTTCCCAAACAATGGTCTGTACACAGCAGTTCTAGAGATACTGGTGATATGAGAGATAAGGAGGGGTGGTAGGGATACTTGTAAAACTAAGCTGGTCTGTCTACAGTCCATGGAGAAAACATCTTCTACAGAAGCCTACACAGAGCAGGAGTTTAATTTAGGGAAGTGAAACATTCCCTGTGCCAGCAGTTGCACTGTTATTGCCTGAGAGACTCTACGGCCATTTACATTTGAGTTGCTCAAAGCCATGTCTAACACTAGTTTTCCCTCTGTGATTCTTGACCCTCTGTCCTCACCCTGAAATCTCATTATGGAATACAGGGTCTGGTTTATGCAAAGCATGTTCTGGAAAAGGCAAGTCCGACACAAAATGCCCACTCCACCACAGATTAGTTATATATCAATAGGTTACCACATGCATTTGCTGCAGGATGCTCTTGTGATACCAGCTTGTGTGCTTGTACAGCATGGCAGTACACCTCTGTATCAAAGTAGACATTTGAAACTATTTTACTACAGTTTCAGAAGAAGTAAAAACCCCACAAGACCCACACACTATCACCTTCAGTCAATTTTCTTTTGCTTTATATATTAAATTAAATGAAAAACAAGATGCCCCAAGAAGACTACAAGGAAAATACCGTAATGCAACAGAATACACTTTTATAGTAATTTAGAAGAAATTGATGCATTTTATAATTCCAAAACATAAATATGGCACCCCAAAAATTATCTGTAATAACATCAGGACAAACCCCTGAAAATTTCATATATACTTAAAAGCCATGCTAGTGCAAACCAGTCCCAAAACAAATAGAAAGCCAACAAGGCCACCCCTGAACCAGGTCAATCAGATACTTCCATTATAGCTTTGTCTCAAATAAACTTCTATAAAGGATCTGCAATTATGTCCTCTTAAAGGTATTGGAATATACATAAATACGGTTAGGTAGAGAGTAGTAACACATTGGCAAGGTAGCAGAGACTTCAAAAAATGTATATTTTGCATTGCTGATAATTTATTACATTTATTCAAGGTTTAAAATAAAAAGAGAAAAAACATTGTAAAGCCATAAATATAAACAATGTGTGCAATACATGTGGCAACTAAATAAGCTAGGGGTGGGGAAGAAGAGAACAACCCCTATTTCCCACAGCAGAGAGTATAATTCAGGGTCTGATTGCAGTAACAGAGCCACATTAAAGGGAAACATATCCCAGCCTTAAGCAAGCAATGAACAGGCTGCACAGTGTCCTCGTGTTTCCAACAGCCCTATTTACAGCAAAAAGCCAGTAAGCCTAATTGGCTGTGGATGCTACTGAGACAGCCTGATGTGCTAGTGAAACTCGGGGAGTTGAAGAGACTGTCAAAAACATGTGGATAAAAGCCCCTCAATCTTTATTATACAAATTTGTGCTTTAGAGTTAACATTTTCCCATAAAATTTTGTGTAATAAGCAAGTTGACAACTCCACACATGCCATGGATTCTGCAAAAGTAAATCAAAGATTTACAGTGTCTGTAATCAAAGATAAGAGTCTGTGGGGGCCAATGAGCCAAAGTTTCAGTAGGAAATGATCTGCTGGCTCATGGAGAGGATGCCCTGCACATCCCATGTAGTGTCTATTACATAATCACTCAAAGGCCATAGTGAAACCAACACACTGTGTAGCACAACAGAATTAAAGAAAGCCCATGTCATACCACTCCTGAGAAGAGAAGACAATGTTGGATTACTCTATTAATGCACCTGGAAGTTCCCCCACTATATCTAACTACAGGTGAATTCTGAAGGGTAGTTTGCTGAAGGGTATCGAAGTGTTCTGAAATCATTCTATGGCTAATCCTGGTGCGAGTAAGCCTTGGATGTCTCTCCCTGTACAAAACCTGTACAAAATAAGTAAAGCAGAACTGTCTGCCCACCACACTGGGTCCCTGCTGGAGACTGAATCATCATAGGATCTGAACTACCTTCTGTCTCCTAGGAATGGTGTCATCTCTCCTCCAAAAGAAAAATCGTACTTGGAGCCTGAATTGCCATTATTGATGCAATACCTGTCTTGTGAATAACAAAGAAGACTTACTACCCCAAATCAACTTCAAATCAGGAAAAATTACATATTTTGGAATTTAAAATGCATTCCTTTTATATACAGTTTTGTTCTCATTCAAAAAAGTGTTGATTGTTCTTAATTTCATTGACAGCAGGGTTATTACCTTGTCTGCTTTATGCACAATTCTATATGTTAAATAGCCCAAATATTTAAGTCAGTAGAACAAAATTCCTAATTGTTTTTCAATGAAAATACCTACATAATTAACTTGAAAGAACATACACTATGCTTTGTTCAAATACATGAAGACATGGTATCCAAACCTTTATTTCCTTAGAAAAGAACACACAATACACACAAATAAGAACACAGTGTCTTTGTACAGACTATGGGTATTTAAATAAAAGCATTTTACAAACTACTGGCAAGTGCTGCAGAATCACCACGATGAAGATGCGTTACAGTAAGTCACTACAATACCAGCATGCCCCGGATTCAGTCACGGGTCACTTACAGATGGACAGGAACTTGAACAACTGCTCGAGCCCTAGGCAGACTTTCAGGTACACCTTCCAGCATTTACTCCATTAACATGCAGTCCCAGACCTGCTCACTACAAACAAAAGTTACTAATTTCACTTTAAAAAAAAGATAAACCACTTTCCCAGGAGCAGCAAACAGTGTGCTGTAGACAACTAGTAAGTTACTGCACAGTGTCACTACTGACCTCTAGAAACCCTGCTCTGTAACAGAATCCTGATCCACCACCCACTGCTCTGCTGAGGAAACTCAGCCAAGTTGTTTTTGTGTTTCTATATCGTTTCCATAGCAAAGGTCAGTGCCTGCGTAAGTTAAACTAAAGCAGGAAGGCTAAAGACTGAAGGTCACTACAGGATAAGCCAGAAGGGCTTCGTGCCAAAGTGCTTCCAGCCATATTACTACACTGCACACAGGAAACCC